CTACCCTGTGCATGCAGATGTTATTAATTAGTTGACCCTCCTTTGCACCATTTTGCGAGTTTATGGATGTGATTTGTCAATTTCAGTACTACGGTGGAAGTGGATGGCTCACCTCGATGCGGCGATTTGGCTTCGATCTCTACAGTGCTTCTATGGTAAGTTTTGCCGTATCCAAATGATCAGCTAATGCATGTCCTTCCTTATGTACGCATATCCGTGTGTTATAGAACCTGATCCAGGCATCTCCCCTTATTGCGTTGGTTACGTTTGGGATCCCACTGGCCTGTCTCTCCTGCTTGGTCTATTGTATCTGCTGTAGCCATTTAGACGCCCTAGATGATGCTGAAGGTGACTTGGCTGCGGTCGGAGAGGCCAGACGAGCCCGTCTGCTCGATCGCGAATTCGTGGAAGCTCAACTCACCTCCGCGACCTATGAAGACACCATCAGAGCCAGATCCATCTACAGCAGATTTGCTGGTGTGTTCCAAGAACATAGATTTGTGATAAACCGTAGAGGTGACAGGTTCACATGCTAGGCAGAGCGTTGAAGTTGAATCGAGACTTTGTATTCTACTTCCATACGAAGGCAGACTGCCATAGTGATGACACACGCTTCATAGTAGGCTGCGGTAAGTGTACTCCATTACTCATAGCTGGCGCACTTGTGGAGGGGCAGTCTGGTCCACACACCGTCATTCAAGATAGTAGACTCTAGTTGTGGTGAGTGTGAGTCCAGCAGCGCTAGAAAGGGTTTAAAATCACACCTGCAGAGGCCTTAAAGTGCCATACGCTGCGGTAGTGAATCTTTTAGTAAACTTTTCAAGGGCGGGTTTGCCTCTGTTTGCCCATGAATTGTACGGATGAGTCAGGAGATTACACAATAAGGTGATGTTGTTTGCACTTGATGAATTCATGCCCTTGCGTGGCTGGTTCCCAAAGAACCGTTTTGTTTTGAGCGCTCTTTTTAAAAAATTTGCTCAGCCGGCTTGCCTTTATTAGTTTGTCACTGTCATGGTCTAGTCTAGTGTCCAGCCTAATATCTGTGGACGCCTGTTCAACGTTATCCTATGAGATGAAGTTTAAGTTCTTTTTTTAAAAAAAGTGCATCAGTCCTCCGAAATAATTGTCCTCAGTGTGGGTTTCGGTGATACAATGTGAATGCAATGCGATTAGCCATTTAATCCTTTAAGTTGAAAAGTGTTTTAAGCTACGTATAGCCTTTTGAAGTGAAAATGATTTGATTATCCAAATAACTTTCTTCTAGAAAGAACTCGCCTTTCACCATCCGACCCATCGGAATCGAAGCCGAGTGCTGTGGAATCACGAAAAGATCGGTGAAATCAAACCAACTGCATCCCCCCTCCCATACCCGCATTCCCTGTTACTTTGATCAGTCAGTGGCTGAAATTGGAATTCCTGATTGCTTTCAAATTGTCTCTTGGATTCCTGCATAATCATGATCTGCGGTAGAGTATTCTAGGTAAAATTGGTATACAAAAATATTTTTCCGTTGTTTAAAGGGAAATTAATCCTTTTGCTCCGGTTAAAATCATTTACTGGGTATTCTTACAGTGTGTAGTTTCGTGACAGTGTGCTGATAGCTGGTCATTGCATCGGCGAACAGGTTGCAGTGAACTGG